CCCAAATCATTCCTGCCCCCCTTAAATCCTTCCTGCCTTATCACTTTAACGGTTCCTGGAGGAGGAATGAGGGGATCCCTTCCTGTCACCCCTCAAACCGGGCTCCATGGAAGAGCCGGTGCTGCTTAACGAGCCCTAAGAGCCCCCGGTTCCCTCAGCGCTCTCTCCATCTGCTTTTTTAATTTCCCTTCCCTGTTCCCTCCTCGTAAACCGGAGTTAATTATCGCCCGGGGGTGTCAGAGAGACCGAAGGTCTGTAAATTAGGGGGAGGGCAAAGTCTGGAGCCGGCGGCACCGCCAGCATCCCGAGCAACTGGTTTGGTGGTGTTTATCTGGGAGGAGGAGCAGCTTCCCCGGGTGGCCTTAAGGGATAAACACCCTCGGGGTGTCAAATTGGGGACAAGGGAGGTGACGCCGGGAGGAGGGAGGGTGACATCAGAGCCGAAGGGCTGATTTTAGCTCACGGTGTGGATCTCCGGGCAGCGTCTTCGCTTTGAATCGAGCCTATTCCCTTTCTACCGTCCTCTCCCGAGCCTGGGGAGAGGGGAAATGTTCTGGGGTGCTGCAGGGGGTGACCCGTAGGAATTAGGGGACCCGTCGGAGCGAGGCTGGAGCTTTTCCCTAGAAGCTGACTCTTTTTTTTGGGGGGGTCTTTTATTTAAAACCTCTCTTTATCCAGGAAGTCCACGATCTGCTGAGCGACTACGAGCTGAAATACTGCTTTGTGGACAAATACAAAGGGACTGGTGAGTAAGCTGCTCTCGCAGCGGGCGTCTCCGCCGATGGCAAGTGCGCTGTCAGTGCCGAATCCAGCACCGTGGCCGGGCTCAGCCTCTCGCTACTGTGTTCGGTGGCTTTTCCGCAGCCGGATGTTCCGTTGGGAAAGGCAACCCCTTGTTCTGCATCGATTCTCCACCTCCCTCCCCTCTGACTGTGCCCCGCGTACACTCTCACCGTCTTTGTGCAGCGGCTAGCTCTCGGCAGGCGGAAAATTAATGCCTGCGGGGTTTAGAGTCCCCTCCCCGGGAGATTTTGTACGTTGCAGCGTGGGATTTGCCTTGTTTTCTGATCCCTCAGGGATGCTTTTCCGAATGGAGGCTGTTCAATCCTGCCCCTCTTGGCAGGGCTGTGCCCACCGGCGTTATTCCCCCCCACACCAAAAAATAGTTCTCAGGGATAGAAAAAGCTGTGGGTGCTCCTCCAGCTGGGGGAGTGAGGGTGGATGGGACCCGGGGGCACCGTCCCTGGCCCCAGTGTCTCCCTGGAGCTCGGAGAGAAGGCCACCTCGCACGAGCCCTCACCGAGGACTGTGCCAGTTCACCGGTTGGCATTTGCCAAGGCCTTCCCTCTGACTCCTCACCTCGCTGGGACTTTGGGCACTAACGGCAGCCAAAAGGGCAAATTTTACCCCCCTGTCACTCAGGATTTCACCCTGCACCTCGCCAACCCCTCCGTGGTTTCACATTTTGGGGTGGAACGGGTGTGGCACAGCCTCACCCTTCCCTCCCGGCTCTGCTCCCGCAGCGTTTGTCACTTTGCTCAACGGGGAACAGGCAGAATCGGCCATCAAAAAATTCCACCTGAGCAAACTACGAGAGAAAGAGATTTCGGTGCAGCTGCAGCCCACGGACGCCCTGCTGTGTATCGCCAACCTCCCCCAGCTCTACACCCAGCAACAATTCGAGGAGTTGGTCCGACCTTTCGGCAACCTGGAACGTTGTTTCCTGGTTTACAGCGAGAAAACGGGACATTCCAAAGGTTATGGATTTGTGGAATATATGAAAAAGGATTCGGCGGCCAGAGCCAAGTCGGATCTGTTGGGGAAGCAGCTGGGCACGCGGACTCTCTACGTCCACTGGACGGACGTCAACCAGTTGACGTCAGATCTCCTCCATTCCAAGTGCTTGTGCGTCGACAAGCTGCCCCACAACTACGCCGACCTCGAGGAGCTGCGGCAGGTCTTCGCCGCCGCCTGCGCCCCTGCTTTTTGCCAGGTGAGAGGGGATGGGGGAAGGATTTGGGGGGAGCTGGCAGCTCTTTTTTTTTTT